ATCTAACGAGCTATAAATTACCAAATCGATAAATTTGACCAAAATTGACTTTTCTGAGGGGGCTTCCCCTTAAATAAACACGACTAATTGAATTGTTTTTTTTCTATTCTGTTCAATTCGCGAGCACGATTAGGAAACATCCTGATAGAACCATAACGAGAAGTAAAAGCTCATGCACGTACGAGAAGGTGTGAGTATGGGATGTGAAGGAAAAGAATATATCAGTCACACTCATCAACACCCACATACTAATCCTAATACAAGAGATAAACTACGAAAAAGAAATATCTGCAGATCTTTCTATATATATATATATATTGTAAAAAAAGGGTCTTGAGGAAAAAAGCAAATAACGATCTTTATGTCCTAACAAAATTTATAATTATATTTTTTATTCAAATAATTGACGTCTAATGTAAAAATTCTTTTATCAATTATCAAGTACCACGTTCAATCTAGCCAAGTTATAATTTAATTGTCTTCAGTAATCGAAAAAAATTGCATCTAAGAATAATTCTAGGCTCTCTCAAGCTATTATGAGAAAGTCTTATCCTTTTACTCTTTCAATGCAAAAGGAAAAAACAACAACTAATTGATTTAATTTTAAGAAATTCATCACTAATAAAATTGAAACATGGTACTAATTTCAACAAATAAAATAAATCTTTATTAGCTAGTCATCTTAAGTTTATAAGCAATGAATCTTTTCTTTAAATAACCCAAGCATCATTCTAAGAAGAAAATTTGCTTGGATTGTAGAAAATAATGAGTAATTCTTTATTAAGATATTTCTAGAAAAATATTTGTTCATTCTAGCAAAATCTCACTATATCAATGCTAGTGTATTTTTCAAGTATGAATCCAATACTTCATTGGTTCCGTATTATATTTTTTTCTATTTTAATTAAGAAAAAATATTTTTAGACAATAAATTATTCGGTTTTCTTTCTTTTTTTTTCAATTAAAAGTCATACTCAATAACAACAGTTTGTTTACAAGATAATTTCCAATAAAAATTTCTAAATCGTTTTACAATAAATAATTATCGCTCAGGAAATATTAACTCAGACATTTTCTGAATTGTGCTTTGAAATTGATAATAGCTCAAGGAAGGAGCAAACTGATGTCATGATTCTATTGATTATTGTAACAGCTTAAAATTTATCAATTTCACACTTTATAATCATGAATACAGAGCAGATAATTATATAAGTAAAGGTTTTTGACTGTAATAGTTCGATTTTTCATATTTTAAACTGTTTAAAAATCGAAAGTCGTCAGAAAGCATTCAGATTTTATATCAATAAATGAATTACATTTGTTCATGGATATTAATGAACATACAATGAATGCTATAGAACTCGTAAATGTCTTCCAAATTTTTCTGATTTTGAGATGTTTATTTTTTAATATATTTGGAGCTGTTTGTAATATGCGAACATATTCATGAAGTCAATACAAGTACACCTCCAACAAGTGAATGAGATATTGTTGTGGATATGAGTGAACGGATAGTTCGATCGTTGTTAATGTGTTAATATGTCTTTCATGCATAAATTGATAGTTCTTGGTAGTTCTTGATTTCTTTCATATGTTTCCAGAAAAAATTGATTGAAGAGAGTTATTAGGTGTAAGTATGAATCGGTTCGTCCTCTCTACATACTGTATAGTGATAACTATTTATGCAATATAGTGTTTATCTGAAAAGTTTATCGCCGTTCTTTAGCTCCTTAAGCTTGACACTTATATCAAATAACATATAGGAGTATGACAAAGTGCTGTTCATTCGCTTTTGTTTTTAGATGACATTGTTCACTTTTATGTAAAATCTGACGAGATTGATGACCAAGTTTCCTATTCTATTGAGCTGTGAAAGTAGTAATCCGCTTGGAATTATATATCATTCGATCGAGTATTCAAATATCTACAAAATGATAAGATTGTGTTGAGCTCAATTTGTGAGAAGACATTTATCCAAATGTAGACTGTTCATGTGAGCCAAAAGTTGCTTTTTTGACTTATCTTTGACGGTTTTCGATCAATATAATCAAGCAGTCTATCAAAACAAATAATATATTTGAAATCAGCATAAAAGCTCTAAGTCGATCTACATGGCTTACGAAATTCACAGACAACTTTTATGTTCATCCAAAAGTGAGTCCTGGTTTCTTTCAAGATTACATCGATGTATAAGGTTAGTTAAAGCCTCAGTGCGACTATGAAAAATCACTTCTACATTTTTAAAAAAACCAGAAAAATCCAAAATGACAAATCGATTAATAATAAAATTTTGTGAAACACGATCTCAAAGAAGTGTTAATATATAGAGTTAGAAATTTGTACGCACTCCGTTCCTTTGTCTCTGTAATTGCTTATTGCATTTCTAGAGGATTGAGTCAATGTATGTTGAAAAAAATGTGTCCGAAAATAGATAGCATAAAAACAATCTTTCTGTGATTAGCAACAGCAGCTATAGTGCACTCTAGATCATCATCAAATAATGATCTTGCTGGACAGCATCATCTTTTTCATACTCGTATTGGTTTTCTTCCACTACTTCAACAGCAAGAAATATTTGGCACTACTGATTGATTACATTCAGCAAAAACATTGAAATAAACTGAATAAATGTCTAAACATTGTTTTGAATCTATACTTGATGTAAATATTAACAAAACACAAATTGATATTCCACAACAATATATCCAATATTAATTGTTAAAACTCCTCATTGGTGGGGTAAGAAAAAACAATTCAGATTTATTAATTGATAGATTTATTGAATGATATTAAACGTATTCAATCATCAAGTGGTTGATATGTATTGAAATATCAACTATCATTTTTATCAAAATTATATCGTAATCAATTACAAGTTCGTCAAACAGATATTAATACAAATAAATAAAATTCTGTTTGAAATACATAAAGAGAACCTATCTGAATGCATGTTTTCGTTCGGCTTTTTTTGCTTTCTAAAATAAAATAACCTTTTTTTCGTTGAGTTGAAGAAACCAATAAAACTTGGTGAGATGATTGTATTTTTTATACTTTCGATCCTTTAGGAGAAGACCTTCTGAACTAATTTAATCAATGGGCTAAGTTGATGTACAAAAAGAGATTGTGGAGGACTACTTATTATTTAGGTAAACTACTCCATGCAATTGTGGATTCTTCGTGTTCTATTATCTCCAAATTTAGGTTATGAGGTATGGACCGTTACAGGTTTCAATTTTCTCTTCAACTACACACGCTGATATTTATGATAAAATTTCTATGAATGATTACAAACTCGTCTTCCATTTCTACACATAATTACTTCAAATCAGATATTAACGATTGACATCCAACATTTTCTATTCTATTTAGTGGCTGAGTGAAGGAATCTATGAATCAAGATATCTTTCTCTCTGATTGATGCGTGGTAAGGTGGTAAATACGCTAGTGATACTATATTTCCCAACTTGTTCATCAAGATTGATGGTTGTTCACTGTTTACATGCACTATCATGTATTTCAGCCACAATACAAGAGAAGTGATTGACTAATCGAGATATTTCGGTCTGATTGGTACTGTGCTGATCGAAATAATATCGGATTCAAAAACTCAGTTCAAGTCGAAAAGTCTATTCAAGTATTCAAATACTCAACAGTCTGTCTGAGGCTGCTTATTTGTTTCTTTATGATCCCATATTGGAGTTTAGAAGGCAAATACATTTCAAGGACTCTTTGTCGACCGATGAGGAGACTTTAGCCTCATTTAAGATGGCGCTTCACATAAGTAAGTGATAATTGATTGCAGTTTGCACATCTAGTAACGAGTTACTTTCTTATGTTGAGCGAGTTTCATAATAGTTTTACTCGCTAGGAAAAATGTTCTACTTCCATTTTGAAGATCTTGATGCGTATTATAAACTCTCTAGATTTTTTCTTTATATTGTACAAAAGATATGTTGCCAGCCACTTTTAAATCTAAGATCCACAAGATGGTGATTGAAACATCTGGCCAAATGTGCCAAAACAAATAAGGAAATTATTCAGCAATAGAAAAGTAACTAATTACCTAAGCAATAGGCATATAAGTGGTCCAATAATAAGGAGAGTAGATCAGACTTTTTCAACGATGAATTTTAAGAACCCTTTAACCTATGCAACTAGGTTGATTTCTATTCTCGAACCAATTGAGTAGAATACAGATTTCAGCTTGAAAGGGTACAATTATCTTATATCATTCTTCTTTACGTACTCAGTTTGTCCTGAAGCCTCAATTGTAGAAAGACCATTTCCTTTGCTTTTGACGCTCGTCTACAAGTGAAAATACGTCTTACAAGAGACCATACAGAGTTCTCTATACTTTTTGATGGATATTTTCAACATTTCATGTTTTCAGATTTTATCTCTTTATTTTCTTCTGGGAAAATTTTGTTTCGCCCATTTTGTATATTATAATACTAAACAACTAATTTTTTTTTGTTGCAATTATTATAAACCAGTAATTGTATTGAAATATTGATGATCGATTGAAAAAGAAAAATAATTTTGTTCCAAGATTAAAATCTCTAGATTGAATCAATAGTGCATATAAGGATTTCGTCTATGGATAGGTTTCTGTTCTTGCTTCAGTTCATGAGAATATACATCTTTCAAAATTTTCTATGAAAAGCAATTCAGCTAACTTGTAAAGGGACGTAAAAACTCTAATGTTCGATCATTCTTCAATTACCAATAGATATTAACCTAACAATTGAAAACACAAGTAAATAGTATTTATCTAAATCAGCATTAGGTTTCTCAATAATCAATATCTTTTGTTTCATACAACTGTCATTTGCGATAACACGGACTAGTTTATGTGGGTAATATTAAAAAAAAACTAAAGCATCGTCTTGCATTTTGCTTATCTTCAACTTGAGCATAATCGGATCTAAGATATTCATAGTATCAGTCAACAATAGACGAGATAAAGACAACAGTGTGCATTTTCTTCTTTCACCTATACCATGTGTGATATAAAGGTGTTTGTTGTCGTTCTGATTATCTTCTTAACTGATGCTCGTCCAATTTCTTTAAACAATAACAAACTTACCCCATTCTTTCTCCAACAAGTTCATCTCATTGAATCACGCCATTCACCTAGTCTTGACGGACAACTATTGAATCAAGCCTATTTGGATCTGTTGCCGATCGATCGTCTACTTTATACTTATTATCAAAATGCCAATTTGAGTGTGAAAGGTATTGAGCCATTAGGTGGATGGGAATCGCCAGATAGCGACATACGTGGTGTTTTTCTGGCATTTTATCTTCAAGCATCAGCGAAAGCGTATTTAGCCTATAATGATACACGTCAATTGGCAAAAGCTTATTACCTTGTCAACGAATTGTATCGTGTACAACAAATTCTTAATGAATCGGGTTTTCTTGCTGCATGGCCATCGGAGCATTTGCGAAGATTAGAGCGGTTAGAAAAGGTTTGGGCACCGATCTATTGCTACGAAAAACTTCTCCGTGGCCTCTCCGACATGTACACTCTTACAGGTCTCACTTTAGCCGGTGAGATGATGCATGATATGCTCGAATATTTATACACTTGGGTAATTCATTGTATAAAGACATACTCCATTTCTCATTGGCATACGATGATTTTTAGTACTACAGACTATGAATACGGTGGTATTAGTGAGTTTCTTTATGAACAATATGGGCTTACTGGTGATAGACGCTTTTTTTGGATGGCTCAACAATTTGAAGATGGACATTTTCTCGGAGCCCTCTCGCTTAATGCTGATTTTCTCACTGGTATACATGCTAACTCACATGTGCCACCAGTACTAGGCAGTGGTCGACGCTATGCAATTACTGGTGAACCACAATATCGAGCCATTCTAGAAAATTTTTACTCAATTGTATGGAACAATCATACCTATTCGACCGGTGGATCTAATGGTGGTAATGGCTCAGTTGGATTCTACCAACAAGAGCACTATAGTGATGCTAATCTTCTATCACAAACTCTTTGGAATAATAACCAAGAATTCTGTGTTCAATACAATATGCTGAAAGTGATTCGAATTTTGATTGAATGGACTGGTCAAGTAGAATACGTCAATGCTTACGAGCGAGTATTTGTCAACAGTATTTGGGGTACACAAGATCCGAGTGAACCCGGTCATATGTTATACAGTTATCCATTGGGAGAAAATGTTAGTAAACCGAATTCTGTGAGCAGTGGAGGTATCGGCTTCGGCTCTCAATTTGATAGTTTCTGGTGTTGTTACACTACAGCTATTGATCAATGGACAAAAATGAGTGATTCAATCTACTTCTTCGACAAACAGAACGGAGTCACCTCGGTCTATGTAAATCTGTTCATTGCCTCAGAACTTGATTGGCGTGTACAAGAACATATATTGATTCGTCAGACGACTGCCTTTCCTCGAGAAACAACTACAATTCTTACATTAACTACATCAATCGATATTGTTACATTGAACATATACCTTCGCGTGCCATCTTGGATTGCCTCCAATGAATCCTGGATTGAGATCAATGACGTACGACAACAGATTGAACTGACACCTTCGACTTATGTTCTACTTCCTATTAGTCACTGGAAAACAAATGATCGTATTATGTACAATATGGCTATGAGACTATATATTGAACCGATCAATGATAATCCTCAATTAGTATCTATTCTATTTGGACCCATTGTTCTTGGTGGTTTGACTACAAAGGCAAAAACATTGCGGCGAGATATGAACTTTATTCGAAGATTAAATTCTACAGTTCACGAACCGATTCAATTCGAAGCAACGACTCTGGATAATTCTACTTTCCGATTATTACCTCTCTATGAAATTGTCAATGAAACGTATACAGTTTACTTCCCACTTGGCTAAATATTGATGAAAATTTTTTGAATTATATCTTTACTCTAAAAAAAAATCTATATATATTCAGTTACAGTGTTTTCCGTAAGTGATTGGCTAAAAATTTACAAAAATCCATCAGTAGACTATCAGAGTAGATTTGAGTGTGTTGGTTAGGAGTACATCCACTCCCACCTTCACTACGATACTCTTAAAATAAAAGCAATAAAATCATATGAATTTTGAAGTAGATCAGGTGATGTATATCATTTATCTAGATTAATAACTTACAGTATTCTTCTGTACGGTGGTAATGCAACAGCAGTATGTCAAAAACTTTTGTTCAATTTTCAATTTTCTTGAATTATTTTTTTTATCATTCTAAGTCCAAACGTAAATGAGAATGATTTAACTCCCAACTTCAATTTTTATATAAAGGCTTTGTCGAGTCTTGCTCATTCTCTACTTTCACCAATGGTTAAGTGGTTCTATTAGATTTTAATTTTGTAAAATTTTTAAGACACAAGCGACTTTAAGAACTTTCGTGTGAAAAACTGATTAGAATGGGTATGAAGATGTCTGGTTAATGTATCTCTTTCGAGGACACTCTTTTATTAGCTAGGAGAAGGACAATTGGTTGGAAATGTTTTATTTTTCAGAAAAAATAATAATTAAATATTAATCATTTGCAGATATGCACAATTAATTCTATTGGATATATGTCTGGCATTTGAAAAGTACTCTCATAAGAAGTCTTAAAACTATTTTTTATTCTATCCTTACGTACAAAAATTCTTTTATGCATGAATGTGCCGAAGTATAGTATATCTATCAAATATTATCCTCCATGTACAATAATCACTCAGTAAAAGTCATTCTTTGAACTGAATGTCGTATAGACATAATATGAAAGAGAGAGTTCCTTAAAATATTTGTTTAATGAAATACAAGTTTTCTTTTTTTTTCTAGAAAGCTTTGATATTTTGTTGATGATCCTCGGATCTGTATCTTTTAGTTTCTAGTTACCTCATTACGATGAGTTTAACATCACTTTTCCCATCTGCTCTATAGGTTTTTCATCGATCATTTTAAATATCTATAAAATGATGGATCAATCTTTATTCTAATGTCTTACAAATTAGTACAGTCTAAAATTTTTGGTTTATAGTCATTTCAAAAGAAAAAAGGAATGTAACTCTTTTGATTAATTGAAATCATCATTTTATTTTATATACAACACCATCTGTATGGCTGTAAATGTAAGAATACATTCGCAAAAATATTTCTCATAATCGTAATCTTTATTACAATTTGATCCAAATAAAACCAATAGTATTCTATTACTAAATTATTTTAAATATTTAAAAATAAACTTTTCTTGATAGAACTCCATTGAAGGTATGAGTGTGTCTATCAGCCACTCTCTTCTTCGCCGACACCCACACTCTGTCTCAATAATACAATCATCACTAGCTGGTAGAATTATATAAATGACAGATTTTCTGAAAAGATTTCTCTTTCAATTTCATAAGTAATTTTAAATGACTATTTATTTAAAAAAATGTATCAGAGTAAACTATTTCGTCCTGTGCTGAACCCAGGACGTCAGGGCGTCTGGCATTGATGATGATCTCGAATCTCTAAAAGTAATTTGTCCTGCTCTATCCTGATCAGATGACGGTCTCTGATTTATATTACGTTGCAGTTTTTTTTTCGCTCAGTAAAATCTAAAATACTATCATAGACTATCTACTTCCTTTCATGGATGTAACACACTGCAGAATTGCGTTCTAATCATGCGCTATCGTATTAGAAATTTATCAAAGAAAAAATTGTAGCTGTCAATACCAATGTGATACGCATAACTTTCGTGTAATTAGACGTAGTATTAACATGAATATTGCATCTACATGCGTCAAATGTTGTGATAACACACTGCAGTCTCGCTTTGCCAGATAAATTTTACACCCCAAGAAAAAACATCGACTAGACAAACTTATTTAACAACAAATATCGAGATGCATATAAATTCATTGATTGAAAAGAATTTTCTTCGTTTTTGGTTGAGAATAGCCTATTAAAGTATTGAATCCTTGTCTTCATAGAAGAGTTCGATTTGATTGTTTCGATCTATTGAAAAAATAAACAGAACAATCAGCATTTTCAAAGCAGTCTCAAACAAACTATTTTGTTAACGAATGAATTCCAGAAAAAAAAGCGTTACAAATACTTCAAAATGAACTACGTAGAATTAAATAATCCTTTTATTATTCCAATGCAAAATGACATTAGATATGCTAAAAATCATTTACATGGATTAATCCTATTTCAATATTTATGTTTTACAATTAAACTGGGTCTCCATCACCATATATATGCTCTCTCTTTGTTGGAGTGGGTTGCAAATGTTACGAAGGATTAACTATTATCTATCGCATAATGATGCAAAAGTTCAATTCTATATATATCTTGACAATCTGATGAAAAATATCTATTGATCAACAAGAAAGATATACAAGATGAACATTTGGCCTCTATTTATACTTTTTGGTTCTTCGATGATAATATCCTCCGTGTGATTGGCTTTCAATAATCATTATATGATTAACAATTGTGAATGCAAATTCTAGAAGATTGAAGTCCAACTAATTTGTACAAAAAGAAAAAAATTCACTTCAATTTTGATTCTCATAGGCTAATGGTACCATCAATGATTTTAACTGTTTGTTGTACTAATACGTGCACGAAAATGATGAGCATACTAGAAAATATTGAATAAAACGATTAAATTTATACCTGAATTCTAAATTCTTTAAACTAATCGATATGTTTCATTGTATGCATACACAGTATTATATGATAAATAGTCAATCACAATATCGGACATAACTTGTAAAATCAATGATTCGGTAGTCGAGTTTTGAAACATAGTCGATCATTTTATTTCAAATCTTTCTGTTCGATTGTCAAAATCAATTCGTAGTAAAAAAAAGATTAAAAACAGTTATACATGGGTTTGACATGCTTCGTTTTGTGCACTTCCAATTCTATACAAAGCAAAAATATATTTCATGACACGCAGAGATTTACAAGTCAGATGGTTTTCTTAAAGATTCACTTTTCAGTTATTTTCTACATAGGAATATCATTCAATAAAATCTAGAACATCCGCATAAATCGATCAATGTTTAGCATACACAATCATCTTGATTGACGACTACAGATTTTTGCATGGACCTTTCTATAGTCGTATTTGATATATTGATCATACGAACAAGATGTCAACAATGTCAAACAAGCACTCCTTTAACGAAAATAAGGATTTAATCTCATACAGCCTAACATTTACGTACAGCAATGTTCTCTATTCATAAAATCAGTAATCTATTTACAAAGGTCCAAACGAAACATGTTGGTCTTGTTGGTATCAACTGTTTTCACTCTATTGCTATCGACTTCTGCCAAAGAATGTCTATCGCGATCATCTATTGAACAGCCTCTTCTCGATGCTCATGTTCCTGGAGCAGTTGTCATCGTCGTGAATAACACCAATATTCTCTATCAAGAAGCATTTGGTCATGGATCTCTTTCACCAGTACGCATGATGGATGTGGATGCTTCAATTTTTGTTCTTGCTTCTATTTCAAAACCGTTCGTCGCCGTTGCTGCCATGCAATTAGTTGAAGCAAACAAACTCGATCTCGATGCTGATATCAATCAATATCTATCATCATCATCACCATTAAATCATCGTATCTTTCATCCGCAATATCCTTCTGATTCGATCACTGTTCGTCAACTACTCTCTCATTCGGCATCGATCGGTATTAATGAAGAAGCATATAACACTTTCATGCAAACTGGTGATACTGCATTGAACATACTATCATTGACCGATGCTTGTTACACTTATCTCGATAACCCATCAAACTGGTTGCCAACACCACCAGGCACTGTGTCACTCTACTCAAACGTTGGTAATGCTCTGGCTGGATTAGTAGTCGAACGAGTAACACAAATGCCTTTTGAAGAATATGTTCGAGAGAAGATATTGAAACCATTGAATATTGATACGAAGAAAGCTGGATATCGTCTGTCTGATATAGATAATCCCGATGAATTAGTGAAACACTATGCATTCAATGCCACATTGCTCGATCAATGGAATGGAGAATGGCCACAACTGAACGTTAAACAGGTAGACTACACAACAGTTAACCAAAGAGATGTCTAAGATTCTTCTTTAGAGCAATCTATCTAATTGGCTTGATATTCCATTTTATAGTGTAAGTATTTATCCAGCAGGTCTCTTGCGAATGTCGGCGAAATCTTTATCTTTATTTCTTCGAATGCTCATGAGAAATGGATATCCATTGTTGCATTCTCGTTCGATTGCCGAAATGCGACAAACAATCGACGGTGTTGTTCCATACCAAAGTGCGAATTCAACCAGTACTGAGTTGCCGGACCCAATGCTTAGTTTTGGTCTCGGTTTGATTTGGGAAGAGCGACGTGATGGTCGTCGATTTTTTGGTCATACTGGAGTAATGCCGGCTGCAACACATTCAATGCTTATTAATGAACAGGGTACTATTGGTGTAATTGTCCTTACCAATGGTAATGTCGATGCCAATAATGAAAATTCAATTAAGATTATGCACGCATTGGACAAGATTCGAATGTCATGGTTCAGTTGCTTTGAAAACTGAGAATGTATTTGTCTATTTTTGGAGTAAATCAAAGTTTGAGAAAAAAAAAGATCTTTCCTATTATTCTTGCATTGATCATGAGGGTGTGAGCGTCAGTTTGAGTATTGGTGTGGGTATGGCATGTTAGTCTCGTCTTCATCCACACCATACATTCGGATCCATATGCTAACAAATTCAATGAACATAAAGCCTTCGAACCAAAATGAAAGATCATTATTTGACTGAATAACATCAACATGCCGTACTCAAAGTCGTTTCTCAAATGTTATCTCAATCAAAAGATAGACAAATGAATATAGATCTTCCTCGAACAACAACTGCAGGTGTTTATAATTCTGGTATAGCTGAATTAGAAGAGCTTTATGAAACGCTTAATATCTTGGCAGATGGAATCGACACATTGACTAATGATGAATAATGCCTAAGCTATAAATAACTACAAATGCAAATTATACTTCCAAGATTGACAGAACAATTATCGAATGTTAAATTATCTGTTGAAGAATCAAATACATTTCAGGAGGAATGGAATATAATCAAGGCATTCTCAATCAAGATTTAGCATTCTTGCAAGCTTAATAGTAAAAAATAGAATATTCTATTGGAAAAATAATCAAAGAAAAACTACATATATAGATTAATCGATTTCTATGAGATCGACAAATAAAACATAAAGAATTCAAAATCACTATCAACATAATATATAATCACGGTCGAATAAAATGTACGAATTATCTCTTGATGAGTTGCAGAAATCAATAATGCTGTCAATAGGCTAAGTTTCTTTATGCTTGCTTCTAATTTTCTTCATGTGTTTTTTCTGTGAAATTCACACATATGACGAAGAAAAATTATGAGTGTAAGTTCAAAGACCAGGTTTGTGCCCCTATCTCTAAAAGTAATCTGAGTTAAAGAATGATAGTGAGGTTATTAATCAATGTTTTTAACGTCGCTAATAGCTCTAGCAACGATGATAAAAATGCTCGCAATATGCTTTAGCAACTGAGGTTGTGATCAGTTGATACTTTTCCAAAGTAACGAAGAACAGCAGGCAGCAGCCTTCTTTTCTATAATTCCTTAACAAGATAAAAAAGATGCTGAATTGCATTAACAACAAGAATTAGACAGTTCGAGAATATTTCAAAGCTTTTCTTAAGATTTAAATGGTTCAAGTATGTTTCTAAGTATTTTTAAAACTGCAGTTTCTTATTTTTGTGTGGATCACCAATTATATTTAAGGTGTTAAAGATGATAACCATAAATGCTTTGATTTGCCACCTTTGTCATATGACCAATACTGAATATATGAATCGATCACGTTCTAGTTTTTGGAAATATTTGATATCAGATTTCTGAGGTCATCGGTAAGAGTGCCACTTTGGCGTAGCGTTCCTAAGGACATATAACAGTTCTGCATGAAAATGCTAAAAAAGAAATACACAAGCCTTGGTACATTGAAATAATGTTGTGAAACAATATTCAAGTTGTAATTCGGTTCCTTAGGAGCACTACGCTAAAGAAAACAAACGCTAACACCCTTACCAATCAGAATGTAGAATAAATATTCATATCAACATCCGTCTACGCGTCGTGAAGAACAGATCAATCACAAAGTCAGACGCTATGGATAACAATCTCGAAGTTAAAAGTCATTTCGAAGCAACTTTCATTGAAACATGTTCAACACACGCTTACCCGTATGAAATGATGATAGAAAATCGAAACGTACACTATATCTCTTCATTCCATGAACATATGCAGCTCTAACGCGATATATTCACGATTAAGCATATCATATAAAAAGCTAAAATGCTGAATCATTATTTTTGAAAAAAAAATTAAAAAACAGTCATTCAAACATTCAACAAACTGTTTCATTTCTATATCGCACCATTTTCAATACTGATGCTAACGAGTTTCTTTCTCTGCTTATTCCGTTCCATCAGGTCCATTGTACGAAAAGCTAAGTTCGTCTCCGAACCAGCAGTCGTGGAAATCTAGTTCAATGAGTGTCTGCGTGAAAAATTGGATATGGGTCTATGAGAGAAATGAAGAACGAATGAAAGTCACTGCGTTATGTTGTAATATCTCAGCCAGATGTTGTACTCTGAGTGTCTATGAAAAAGTGCAGACGGGTATATTAGGGAGAGAAAGAGAGAATTAGAGTCACTGTATTATGTTGTAACGCATTAGCCAGATATTGTGCTAAGAGAGCTTCGATCTGATTGAATCGGAGATCTAGTGTAATGAGTGCCTGTGTGAAAAAGTGGAGATAGATATGTGAGAAAGATGAAGAAAGAAAGAAAGTCACTGCGTTATGTTGTAATGCATCAGCCAGACGTTATGCTTCAATGTCTTGGATTTTATTGTATCCAAGATCTAGTATAGTGAGTGTCTGTTTGACAAAGTAGAGATAGGTATATGAGTAAAATGAAGAGAGTATCAGGATTACCATGTTATGTTGTAGTACATCAGCCACATGTTATGCTCCTGCGTCTTGGATATGATTGTATGCCAGATCTATAATGGTGAGTGTCTGTGGTGAAAAACTGATGATCGTTATGTAGTGCTACTTTGTCACCGATCCACTTGCATCGGAAATCTAGTGTGGTAAATGTCTGTGTGAAAGAATACAGACCGGACTATTGAGCGCGACAAAAAAGAAAAGGCTTTGATTGGTTAAATAATTTGAAAAAAGAAACCTTATGAATTGAGGGAGAATAGGATGCTCTTATAGAAGAAATGACGATTATGGCCTCAGTGGCTGAGTACTTTTGTTTGTCTTGTAGTACATGTTTGTACAAGAAAGATTTAAATTCTTTTGTATTCATTCGTATCATAATGATACAGTTAATGTATATTTTGCATTGTTGATCTATTGTAACTCATTCTATTTAATTCAGCAGGAAGGATTAATCTTTGTCGATAGTTAAGTGACCAACACGAATTGAAATCCCTCATTGAAACGTCAAATTTCAAACAGATGCGTTTCTACAGCAAGAATATATATATATGGGGCAGCAGAAAGATTAATTAAATCACCTAAAATCTCATACGAAATGTCCTATTCTTTATTCTGAAAGACTTGTAGTCGCATAAATTAGGTAATTGCTTGTCATGTTAGAAACATAATGAACTAAAGAAGTTCTTAACGTCAATTGGTCGTACTATCGATCAAATAAATTACTCGTCTTCTCTTAAGTAAGCTTCCTCTCAGAAAATATTGATTTCTGAAAAATTACATCTGATTTCTTTGATCTAAACATTATGATAAGTTTTAGAGTAAAAATGTACCAAAACTACTTCTTATTTATTTGTTTTGACTATAAGTACCTATTGATACTCTTTGAACGATTGTATAACTATTGTGATTTTACAAGCTTCAGCCATTGTTGTTACTTGATAACCTTGAAAAATTTGTTTATCATTCATTATAATCAATAGACACAGAGATATTATTTACCATCCATAACAGCTTGTAAAGCACAAATTGGATCGATTTCAGTAACAATAACTTGTGAATCATAACTACTTAATACTTTTGCACATCATTTTCCAACATTACCATATCCAATAAGTACTATTACTTTTCCTCCAATCATGATATCTATAGCACGTTTAATACCATCAATAAGACTTTCACCACAAGCATAATTATTATCAAATTTTGATTTTGTTACACTATCACTAACATTAATGACTAGAATTTTTAATTTTTGAATAATTTACGTAATTGTGTTATATCAGCCGTTGTTTCTTCATTACTACCATGTATCATATTTGTCAAATGTGGATATTTTTCATGTATAATTCGTGCTAAAATACAACCATCATCCAAAAAGGCATTTAATAGTTGACCATCGGGAAAGTAGTTTGTCAGGAAAAGAAGAGAAAATCGATTATATCGATAATTATAAATTTAGAGAATCAGTTTTAATTGGTGACAGTACGTTTTTTTTTTCAACAAGATTATTAATAACGTTATTCATAGAAATATGTGTATCAAAAAGTCTCATGCTTTAAGTTTCAATTTACTCTCTGTTTAATTTATCATATAGAATTCCATCCATACGTTAGTGTTGAGGTTTTTCGACATAAACCAGTTGAAAGACTTGAAATAGGTAATAACAAGTCTAATTTAAGATACATTGTCAATATGTTTTTCTTACACAAGTTTCGTTTTGTTTTGTTCTATGGACATGGAAAAATAGTAAAAACAGAATATGTAAGTTTTGTCTTATCTTTCTCAGTCGTTATCGTTGGATACAAACTAATGTTTATTTAAAAGCATGAGGCATTTTATGTTGTTCGAAGAATAAAAGTGGTTTTTGCCAAAATAATTCTATATTAACATAATCAGTAAATACGCAACTGACAGCATCATTCTCCTTTTTTTATAAATCTGTTACAACAGTGTGGGCGCTCGATATTTTTTTCTCGATCTCTCTGATTGATAAAAGGAAATATTTATTATAATGGTACGTTTGCTTTTTAATTTTACATAAAATAAGCATTTCTTATTCCTGTTCATTTTTGCAAATAAAAAAACTTTCAAGAAATAAGAAATTTTAAGATGTTTTCTGTTAAGGATATGTCCAATATACACAAGTACATTATATGTTCGTTTATTCCTTTCAAGTTGTAGGACATATAGTAGTATGTTTTCCTTCCATATTTCGCACCTGATATTAGATTTTCCCCAGCTACTTAGATATATACAGGGTGTCCCAAAAGTCCGTCGGAAAAGTTAATTCAAATATCTCTTATACAACTCAAGCAATTTAATTGATTTTTTTATAATGTGTTAGTATGTTCTTTAAAGTTTTATTTCACATAATTTAGTTTGCAACAAATATTCAAAATGATTACCATGAAGTATAATACCTAAATCCATCGTTTTTGAAATCTCTAAAAAAAATTGCAGAAAGTTTATTTTCGAGCTAATTTCGTTTCGTTATCGGTTCTTATTTTGAATTCAACCAAATCTTTATATATATATCTTATGTATATAGGTCTCTACTTTATATTTGTTAATAAACCATTCAAATGAAAAGAGACTTTGTATGAAAAAAAAGAGCTCTTCTGATTGTGGATATTTTGTAATTTGCGTATCAAAGTGATATAATTTCAACTCGATCTTATGAATCTTCTCTATGACATGATAGGAGAAATTACACTCTATATGGATTCATTAGATGATATTCAGTGATAATTCGTCCTGATATTGTCCATGGAATGAAGTAGGCTGTTGCAACAACCCGAACACTTGATAGTGGCACATTTTCACAATTATCATAAACTTTGCTGATTTTCTCTTTTGTAGTTTTTGAAGGTCTTTCAAATTGTTGTCTGTTTACTACTATACTCATTTCGCAAAGGCCTTGAAAAGCGGCAATAGCACAGTCCATGTGTAGCGTTTTTATGTCAAATTCGACTTGCATTTTTCCTTTCACAATGATAGGTAACTCAAATTTGGGCATTAATAGAACTATTCTAATTCTAATAGTTATAGGCACAGACATTTATCCAAAAATATACAGAACAAAACTTTAAAGAACATACTAACATACTATAAAAAAATCGATTAAATTGCTTGAGTCGTATAAGAGATATTTGAATTAACTTTTCCAACGGACTTTTGGGACACCCTGTATGTGTGTATGGTCTTTCTATTTTTGGTCTATCTATCCTGTTCTTTGATCTTTACGTTGTTCTTCTCTTCATATACTCTGTGGTTAGCGTTTTTGAATAAACTGAACTCACATGTACAAAGTAATACACTTTCGATTGCCGACGATATTTGAATAGATTAGTTCTAGATTGAGATTTTCAAAAGCAATTCTATTCATTTTTTTATGTCGAATAATAATCTGGAAATAGCTGACAATGATATGCTTGACGATGAAAATTATGTCATTCCTCCTACTCCTTGTAAGTTGTCCTTCGTTGAAAACAAAAAAAAGATATGATTTTTTTGTTTTGATTGATATATCATTTATCAGTTCCCAAAGAATATCCAAACGAAATAGTTGGCATTGAAGCATTTCATAAATGTTTCGAACGACGTTACAATGCTTGTCCAATATTCTTTGTGGGTTCTCTTCAAGGAACATGCAAATCAGCGTTTGATGTGACAATAATTGAAGAAATTCATTGAGATCTGTTCTTTATAAAATACACAAATAATATTTTAATTTAGCGTCGTTCAGTACTTGTCTTTATACATGACGATACAAGCATGGCCAGTAATATCTTCTGTGAAAGTATATTCTGTTCAAGAAAGATTATCGATTATTTATTTGAAAATTATATTATATGGTCATGGGATGTTACTTTAAAATTGAATAGAAACACGTAAGTGATCTATTATTTCATAATAAACAAAGTGAATATTAAAATAAATTTATCAAAATTTAAAATATTCTTTCAATAGAAAAACTCATTTTCCATGAATCATAGTTATTTTTTGAGATCAAATCAGATCATTTGAAACGACATAATGTTAAGCATCTGTTAGTAAAGAAATATTTTATTTTTAAATCAAATTGAAGAAAGCTTGAAAAAAATGTTCTCAACTGAAATTCTGAGGGATTTTACAACCGATCAATGTCCAATGCTTGTTGGAATCATACGAAATTTTGTAGAGCAAAATAATGGTTCGTTAATATTCGAATATCAATTCAAATCATTGCTTCAAGGTGATACTTTGATATGAACCCAACAAAACGTTAGTGAAGAACTGATACTCAAAGAATTGGCAGTGTTCAAAGAAGTATGTGATGAAAATGAACAAGTTTTAGTGAGTTTTTTGTTTTAAATATGTTATCAGTTTTAATAAGCATAGAAAAAAGCAATTCTAAGAAATTGAAAAAATCACATTAAATAATTCAGATATACTGTATATATATCTCCTTTATTCAGTTTCAACCATTCGACTTTATTACCAAGAATGATGTTTTGAAGACTGTCTTTTTTGAAACAGCCAAATATGTCACATTAAACGATGCAATCAAAGCATTTTCCACTGCTATTCTTCCTTTATTATGTCCAGATGAACCAAAAGTAGAGATTTGTGATCCTGCTGATGTATTTATTAACGTAATTCTTCGAAAACTCAAGTCTGAACAAATTGTTTCCTTACGTCTTAATACAACTAGATATCAAACAGAATTAAAATTAAATTCATTGAGAATTTTTACCAATGTCACCTCATTGACTCTTATTAATTATCAAGAAATATATTCAATCAACAATTACGTAAAACATTTTCCAAGATTGATTCGTCTTTCTCTTTGGTATGATAATGAAGTTAGTTTTCGTTTTTTGAGTATTATCTTCGAAAATCTTCAAAATTCAATTAAAAGATTAGAAATTCATTGTGCGGGAGTACTTTGTAATCACTCTGACATATGTAATTCCAATATGACATATGAAAGACAATTTACGATTAAATATTTTCTTCTTGATATGGGTGAATTTCCATTATTTTCAATGAGCGATTGCTTGCAACATCATCATTCATGTTTCTTGATGACAATGAGTGATTTCATCAAATATATGTACAATATTCGATCGATTCGACTGATTAGTAATAGTAACAATGTCGAAAAATTATTAGATTTAGATGGATGGAGAAGATTAATAAATGATTGTCGTCTATTGAAGAAAGTAATGTTACAAGTGCTCGGAAGTGTACTATCAGACAAACAAGTACCACAGAAAATAATGGAAATACAGAATGAATTATATAATGTTTCACAGAACATCGAATTTCAAGTTATATTTAACTGACTTTTTGTTTTATTTCTTTCTTTTAATGGACAAAACTCATTTTTGAATCTTATCAATTTTTTTAAATGTAAACACAAAGATAATAATGAAACATAAATCTTGATGACTCAACAGAATGTTTGCATTGATGCATCAAATTACTATTATTATTTTGAGTTTTTCAATTACAGTTATCCACTATATATATTCGTTGTTGCTCTGTTATACTCTATTTTCATGATTAGTACTTTTTGAATTTGAAGTATTTTGTTTTGAATAGTTTGAAATATCTCATAAATAAATTTAAATTTGTATATCTCTTAAAAATCCAACATGCAAATTTCCTTAACTCATATTGTTACTTGTCGATCTGTGCAGAATACAGAAGAAATCAAGTTGAGTTCAGCGGTTTCCAATGGTAAAAATAAGGAAAAAAAAAAGATTTCGGTTTGATTCCCAAAACACTACGTGAAATCGGAGTCATTCAATTATCAGGTAGATATGAAAATCTTTTAATTTATTTTGAGAAACTTTGGCTTTTTGATTATCGAGATTAAACAGATCACATTCTGAGGATTTAAATGAAAAAAATAACACAAATCTATATAGTGTAAAATTTAATCTTAAGACTTGAACAATCAATATTTCTCAAAAAAATTTGAAAAATCTTTGCATCTATCTAAGACTTCAAGGGTTTTGTTTAAAACAAAATTTAAAAAGCCGACTCTGGTTCGGCTTTCAAGGTCAATGTGGGTATGGATGCAAGTGTGTGGGATAGTGGCGCACCTGTAGTTCTATTTTCAATACACATACCCACACTTACTCACATTCACACTCGACCGATGATTAGATGATTACGATGTGAGCCAAATGGTGTTCAAAACTTGCTTTCGATATAACAGCTAGATTGGATTTCAAAGGATGAGACGAGTTGATAGCAAGATCTTCAAAACGAGCATTGAGTTTCGAAAATGATTCCTATATATGATAGCCATTGATTAAATGGAAAATTTCGTAGACAATTTCATTCGATAAATCTTCAAAACAAGTGATCAATCGATTGAAACTAGAAATGTGAAACTGTCAACAGTTATGAACTCCATAAACAAATAATTTCCTAAACGAGTAGAACTCTGATAAATATTCTAGTAAATTGATTTTTTCGCATCGACAGTTCTCAATGTATTTACTGACAACATGCGAAAATCTCGAACAAGACTGAATATTTCAACAAGATTCACCACCTGCAAACGAAAACACGTAAATCATATAGTTGACAGAAAACAAAAAAAAAATATGCATCCAAGATAGGCTACTTATTATCTTTTCTTATCTAGTATATCTACAATACTATTGCAACTAGAAATATACAACATGCTGATGCATTAGATTATTGCCTGTAAAAAATGACTGTTCATCTTCGAAAAACATGCAAACAGAAGAAAATTAGATCCTTGCATGAGTAACGATATTTTGATAGTTATTTTCTGTCCTTTGATATAACACAAAATTATTCTGTATTGGCAGTTTTTTATCTACTTGGTTTATGGACTTTTACTCATCGAAAGAGAAAGAATTCAAATTTTTCTTCTTGAAAGAAATATACGTAGCAACTATGTATTCAAAAGGAAAACAGTATCATTTGGGAAGAGACAATCCCATACAAATAGATTCAGTGAAATGCATTCATTGGCACTAACTTAGATCGAATCCAAAGGCTTAAAATGATTTTATTAAGATCGATCAAAATGAAAGGTGTTTGCTTATTGATTTGAGCGATAGTATACACAAACGATGTTTGTATTGATGATTGCTTAGAGATACACGTTGCTCCACTAGATCAATGACTGTTCGACATCGATAGATTCATTCTATTTCAATAGTACTGCTTAAAACAAGGTCATGATGATATACTGAGTTCAACATTCACATCCAGCATCTATCAATTAGACCGAGAGAAAAAAATGTCGAAGAAAAAAGAATAGGTGTAAGAGTATGAAGAAAAGACTGATAACTATATGCGCATCTCACTCGGACATCCATATCCACACCCTATATGAGATGTTTTCATTGTATGAAAAACGAGAAAATAGCACAGTTACTAACCGACATAGGATGTTTCTGCGTTCGATTTAGCAGTCATTTCTAACAGTTAACTGATGGTGTCCTACAAGTACAATTTACTGCTAAAACTGGCCTGGTTTTTGCGACCTGGAATATCATTCGGTGACTTGATGATTATTCATTGTAAGATAAAAAAACAACTTTAGTGTTTAATGATAATAATTTGTTGACACGGCACTTTATCTTTGTTTTATTGTTTGTTCTTAAAATATGAAGAAAAGAACGAAGTGCATGAATATACGTTGATATTTTTTTTTTGTTATCTCATTGTTAACTACGCATTACATTTCATTTTAAAGGTTAATAACTGAATTAAATAAATGATTACAGTAGAGATGTGATCATGGATGAAGACACGTGCATCCTCCACTGTTAGAAAATGTTTAGTTTTTTTCCAGCCAAAATCGTTTTGTTTATTGTAAAGAAAAAGGTCGTAAAATGAAATCAAAGAGCTCAGCACTCTCCATCACTAATTTTTCTCTTTACCACATATCTAGTTTAGAATAACAAAGTGTTATTGAATAGAAAATAGTAAAATATGAAAAAAAAATTTATTTTTTAGATTTGAAACAATCTGAAAGAAATGTCAAGAGAACGATCAACATCTTTTGATATTCACAGTGGAAAAACAAAGTCGAATGTTTTTCAAGTAAGATTTTATTTCAATAAAATGATTTTTTTTTCTTTTTTTGATTTTATAAATTAGATAAGTGTTATATCACAAATAAGTACAGACAATAATGTACCAAGTAATACAGAAACAAATTTCGATGATAATGAAAGATTAATACCACTAAATAAAACAGATCTTCATCGAAATTTAAAAAAAAGACATATGATTATGATTGCATTAGGTGGAGCAATTGGTACTGGATTATTTTTAGCTTCTGGTCAAGCATTAGCATCAGCAGGACCTGGTGGTTCTCTTATTTCTTATGTTATTGTTTCAATTATGGTTTATTTTGTTATGACAAGTTTAGGTTTGTTTAAACTTTAAATATTAATTTTATTTTCTAATATGATTTGCTTCATTTATTTATCCATTAGTTAGCTTTTGTTTTTTTTTGTTGTCAGTTGTAGCGACTAGATTAAATAGCAAATATCATAGAAGAGATCTTCTTAATATATCAATCAATACACTAAATCGAGTAATAGATTAATTAGAGTAGTCCAAAACTTTCGACCTCTCTTTCTCTATGTGAATTGACTTTATTTATACAATATACATATGAAGATAGTTGACTGAAATATACTGTTTTATAGAGCGAGATTGAAGGTACTTTCATCTGAATAGAACGTCTGATTGATCGAAATTAAGCGAAGTACCTAAAGAATTTTACATGGTTCGACGAGCTCTACAAGAATATGAATGTGGAAAAACGTCTTAATCTATTTTCAATACAAAATGTCCAGGAAATCAGGCAAACTAATATAAATTTCAAATACATGGTACGAGTAAGTCGACTTGGTTTAAAAAAACAATCTTTCGAAACTACATACATATCGAGAATAGTAGATGCGGTAAAGTTATTTTAAAAATTTAGCTTATAGTCTTTCGAATGTTGAATAGACGAACATTTTATCAATCTTTCTGATTTCCTACAAATTTTTTATCGGATTCAAGATCAGTATTTTTTCAGATATTAATATTTTCATAGAACTTTATCGAACCATATAAAAATTTCTAGAAAATAATATTTCACTTCAGACGTTACGAGCATATTTTATTTTCATGCGATTCGAACTTATCTTTTCAGAAGTCAAAAAAATAAAAATAAAAAAGAAAGCTTTTCATAGACAATATTTAATAATTAAACTTCAAGTTTTTTTGTTTATTCTGATTCTGAAATATTTTTTCTTTCATATAAATGAAAACTTAACAATGAAAATCTTGAAATAGTATTCAGTTTTCGATAATTTTATATATGAATAAGTCTATTTTTTATATTAATTTTCTAAGACTAAAAATATTTGTTCAATATTTTAATGAGAAAGATCTTGATCATTATATGAATTAGATTACTGATCAATTTAATGGAAAACTCAAGATATTTTATCAATTTTAATTGAAATTCTCAGATTGTATCGATGAATTTTCTATTATTGAAAGAATATTTGTCTTTCATTTTAAAATAATGTTTAGAGATAAATAAAATAAGCGAACTCATATTCCAAACAAAAAATTGTCGATACGTTGTTAGCAAGAGTTTTGATTAAACTAAAAAAAAATTTTAAAATTAAAATAGCTGAACTTGCAACACAATATCCAATAAGTGGTTCATTTAATACATTTGGAAGTCGTTTTGTCGATGAAGCATTTGGTTTTGCATTAGGTTATAATTATTATCTTACTTGGGTTACAGCAATTGCGGGAGAGCTAGTAGCGGCTGGAATTATTGTACAATATTGGGTACCACATTTTCCAAGTATTGTTTGGTCTCTATTAGGAATGCTAATAATGTTTCTATTAAATGCATTTACAGTAAGAAGTTATGGTGAAGCTGAATATTGGTTTGCTATGATTAAAGTTCTTACTATTATTGTATTTATAATAGTTGGTATATTAGTTGATACAGGTGTGCTTGGACATGATAGAATAGGATTTCGTAATTGGAAAATTGATGGTGCACCTTTTTATAAAGGTTTTGGTGGAATTGTCACTACTTCGATTATTTCAGGTTTTTCATTTGGAGTAAGTTTTTTGTGAATTTTAATTCTAATTTTAAATCTTAATTAATTTTCTAGGGTACCGAAGCAATTGGTATAACAGCTGGTGAAAGTGCAAATCCTCGTCGTGATGTTCCACGTGCAATGAATGGAACAATTTGGCGTATTATTTTATTTTTTGTTGGATCAATTGTTATAATGGGTCTTATTATTCCATATAATGATTCTAGATTAGGTCACAATGATGTTCAAAATGTAGCAGTATCACCATTTACACTTGTTTTTCTTGCATCAGGTATTAAACCAGCTGTACATATTATGAATGCCATTATATTAACAACAATATTATCAGCTGGAAATTCAGGTCTTTATGTATGTACACGTATATTATATGCTTTAGCTAATGAAGGAAAAGCTCCAAAGCAATTTAAATATGTCACTCGACATGGTATTCCAATATGGTGTCTTTTATGTACAGTATTTATCGCAACAATATTATTTGGTTTATCATTTATTGGTAATAAAATAATTTATCGATGGTTAGTTAATATAACAGGTGTTATGGGATTTATAGCTTGGTTTGGAATATCAATAGCTCATTGGAGATTTCGTCAAGCATATATTTTACAAGGTTATTCATTAAATGATCTTGTTTATAAAGCATTATTTTTTCCAGTTGGACCAATACTAGCATCATTATTTATAATTATATTTGTTTTCGGACAAGGTTATTCAGCATTTACAACACATCCATTTAGTTTTAGTAATTTCTTGGCAGCTTATATAACAATACCTGTTTTTTTAACTGTTTATTTAGTTTATAAATTTGTTAAAAAGACACGTATTATACCTTTGAAAGAAATTGATCTTGTAACTGATAGCATTATGTTTCATCAAACAGAACAAATATCTAATATTTAAAATTTATGTTTTTTTTTATTTTTGAAAACAAAATAAATAATCAATACCATTATTCAAATAAGTTAGTTAACTTATGTTCAATAAAACAAAAATTATTTTAATAAAGCTATAAAATACTAAATATGTATTGACAAAAAAAAGTCTGTTATATTTAAATTGCCTTAAAAAAAGAGGCTTAACAATTGTTTTCATAAGAATTTATTTAATACGACATATTTTAATTACAAACAAGGAAGAAACTTCAATGGTAGAATCTTGAAAACTACAACACCTTTTGAGTATACTTTTAGCACTGAATATGATGTATCGTCACCGCTAGGATAGAGAATGGTGGATTATAATGATACAACAAATAATATAATTTCGAGACAACGCAAGCAAATATTGCTTATTACATGTGCATTGTGCACTCTTCAGAAGAAGCCAACAAAATTATGTAGAGATTTAAGTTCGAAAGGTTTAAAAGTGTGCTTGAATGGTTAACAAGATTTTCATAAATACCTACGAACGATGAAATCGAAAAAATATTGACTTTAGAAATTACATTGGTCAGTATATTCTGATCTCCAGATGGTTAATTTGTCCAAGCTACTTTAAAATTTTATTTTTACGTTCTATTTAGAAATAACAATAACAGAATATAATATTTTAGTGCAGTCTAGATCGCCCATGGCAATGGTCCATCTCACTCGAATTGAAATTCGATCTGGCTGCGTCATCTCTTCGCGTGAGGTGTAAGTTTAGTGATTAACGACGAACTTCATGTTGTGAGAACTCTTGACCTGTTAGAAATCATGTATAATGATCGATCAAATTTAGTATTCATCTATAGTTTAACTAAAACTATTGCATACGTTCTACATCTAAAAGCTGCGTTGGGTTGACGTTTTCGCTCAATAAGAGAATATCACTTAAAAAATCTGACTCCATTTTCTTCAAACCACACCGAACTATGATAACAACACAATAGCATTATGCTCATGTTAATTAAAGTCACACTTTTTAAACAAATTGAAAACTAACAGAAGAGTTTATTCTACAAAAGTATTCCTAACTCTAACAACTATTCTATTAAAAGTGGCATCATTTTAATCAAATTTATCAAAGATAAAACAAAATTACAGCGTGGTGAAAAGATTCTCGTGATTTCATTGTTTGTAAATAATATCAAATTTGGTGTTTAGTGACAATTGAAGATAGTTTCATTAGATTTTCCCTATGATAGAAAGAAAGAATTTAACTATTTCATTAAGGATATCTTTCCATTCATTATTTCTATCGAAAGAACATGTAGTTCATTTGTTTGACTGACCTAGATAGCTGTAATTATGCATGATGTGACTGCTGTACATATTTCCTTGCATCAAATAATAACCACTTGTCAAAGGTTTCAGACGTTCCGCGTTTAAAACTCAAGAATTAAAAATTTAGGAGAACAAAAATTTTTAAAAAAACACTCCTGAGCACTGATATAATCTCGATCAAAACATGAGAATTTTATTCATTACTGTTGAAAATTCTATATTCGATGGTTACATGTGTTTGTTAAATATAAATTTCAAAGAAGTAATATTGCATGCAGATTTCGGTTTTTCTTTAGTAGTAATTGTGTATTTCATTTCGTTGAAAACGATATAAAGTTTGAGCATAACGAACACTTTCTCAAAGAATAGGATATTCTGATTGAAGCAAATTAAAACGTTGCACATACGTCAATTCTCACTTGAAAAACTCATTTCTTGCTATCTACTTCAATACTCATTTTTTTTATTATGTTCGTAAATGTAATACTCGGAAGTGCTTACATGATAACATCAAAAGAAATTATAATAGTTAAGCATTAAGCACAACGTAAATGTAATGAGTTTTACAGTTACGATTGATATCATTATACAAAATATTGAATCTGCTTGTGTGGATGTAGAAGAATAAATACAAAGACAAAAAGAAAAAAGTAGAAGAAAAAATATAAAAAGATTCAGAATTTGAGAAGAAGCAAGTAACCGAAAGAGAGAAGAGAGAAAAGCGAGCGCGGATGCTTGTATACGTTTCAAAGATAGAAAAAAAAAGAAAAGGAAGAAAGAAATGGAGAAGGATTTTTTATGCTCTTTTTTGTGTTCAACTACACAATTACTTTATTTCAATAAAAGATATATTCATTTTAAGAGAAGTGATTCATGTTTTTTTATCTATTGCCTTATATGTTTACTACGACGAAGCTGGTCAAGGTGCACAATGTAAAAAAACAAAGGTAATTTACCGAACCCTCCAAAAAGGTTTCGTAGGTGTCAAAAAGCTTCCAAATGCGTCCAAATTCTTAAAAAAATGGTTGTTAAAATCTACGAAACCTTAAAAGGATCTGTCCGCGGGTACACCGTCCGAACCATCTCCTACGAAATCTATTTAAGTTTCGTACAGCGAAAAAAAGGTTTCGTTAGAAAATACGAAACCTTCATAGTTTCGTATAAAACTATAGTGCGAAACCATAGGGTTTACTAGGAACCTATGAAGGTTTCGTATTTTCTTACGAAACCTTTTTTCGCTGTACGAAACTTAAATAGGTTTCGTAGGAGATGGTTCAGACGGTGTACCCACGGACAGATCCTTTTAAGCCCCCCCACTCAAAAATCGATCTCAGCCCAGGTACGTTCAAATTGGCTGAAATTTGGAGCATATGTTGGGGGTGAAGTGGGGAGGCTGTGATAAAATTTTCAGCTCGATACCCTGACGTTTAACTGAGATATTCACCAAACAAGGGTCAAAAATAGGTCATTTTGGTACAAGGATTTCTCAGTCCGGACCCGTCTAACATATTTAAATTTTTTTTGTTAGAAAGAGCATGTCAGAATGCAGAGCACTACAGAGTCCTTTTTTTAAGATTCTTACTTTTTTAGCGGAGAAAGGAGATCACAAGTCCAATGACTCAAAAAACGCCCCAAAAATGGGTGTTCAGTCACATAAGTGTCTTTATATATAATAAAAAACAAAGCTTAATTAAAAAAAGGTCTCTGTAGTGACCTGCATCTCGACGCGCTCTTTCAAACAAAAAAAAAATTTAAATATGTTGGACGGACCCGGACTGAGAAATCCTTGTACCAAAATCAAAAAATCATAAATCGAGAAAAAACGAAAAACATTTTTTGATTTTTCAAAAAACAGCTGGTTTTTCGAATAGGGGTTGACGGAAATTTTCAAAATTTTTTGGGAAAAATGAATCAACGAGAAAAACAAATTATCGTTTATGAAAGAGCAGATGATGGGCTATCTCTCCATGTAATTATCTCAATTTCGGAATTTTCGACGAAAATTGACTTTTTTTGAGTGGGGGGCCTTAAGGTTTCGTAGATTTTAACAACCATTTTTTTAAGAATTTGGACGCATTTGGAAGCTTTTAGACACCTACGAAACCTTTTTGGTGGGTTCGGTAAATTACCTTCTTTTTTACAGTGTGATCGTTCCTTGTTTTATGAGAATCATCCCAAAGCAAAATATTCTTATAGAATAGTAAACAACTAATATTCGTTATGTGCATACATTTAAATCTTCTTTGAATAGTATTTAACGTAAGTCTCTAAGGAGAGTTCATTAGTCACAATGTACGGATTATGAGCTGCGACAATAGGGTAGCGATGCACCAATTGAAGACTAACTCAGAATTTCTGCGATAATAGCTGTTGCTGTGACTTGGAAAGCAGGTGAAAGAAGAGAAATAACCGTGCAAAGTAAGAAAACGTGTATGAGAAACAACATTGTCTAAGCGCCTTGATGAAAATGAATCGTTTTCCTCTTAATCATTTGAGCTTACCGAAGGATTCCTGAATGTTTCCTATACATCTATCAACTGTTGATTTCAAGAGTAATTTCTTTCTCCATATAAATCCTAGATATTTAAATTCATTTGCTAATTCGAGTTTTTGCCCATTCTTTTCTATGTGCATTCTTGGTTGCCTTATTTGTGTATAAAACAATTGTGCCACTGTTTTTGACACATTTATAGGTTGTTTCCATTTTTGTTGAGTATGCAAATATTCGATCGCACCTTCTCTTACCTTCTTGTTCTAAGTATTCAATCATCAGTGCTGGTTTAATTGAGATAATGGGTCTTATAATGACAGAAAGATCATCTGCAACAAGGTGACCTGGATGCACTCAGATGTACGGAACTAAATCGCAATGAAACACGATAAATAAGTAAGGACTAACGAGGGAGAGACATCAACTGATCAATCGCTTTTGAGTTGAGATTGTATGCATTATGTCAGTATGAATGAGCTATGAATAACGTGAAAAAAGTTCGGGCCGCTTGCTCATTTTTACGGAGATACTGCACTTGTACATTGAGCTTTTAAATGAGTGCCGTAGTTCCCCTCAGAAACATCAGAAAAAATGATTTTCGAATTTCGACCTGAAACTTTACAGAGAAACAGATCTTACTGAGCATAGTATATTCTGAAGGTTTCAGATGTTTTGATTTATTCCTATTCTGAAACGAGAACAGCAAATCTTCTGGTGTATCCGAACGAAGTTATCATACTTGCAACTACGGAGAGGAACAGCAAAAAGATCTGGAACTTTCACAAAATGCCATTCTCAGTAAGATCTATTTCTCCGTAAAATTTCAGGTCGACATTCGAAAAGCATTTTTTCTGATGTTCCTGAGGGAGACTACGGCACTCATTTAAAAGCTCACTGTAAAAGTGCAATATCTCCGTAACAATGAGCAAGCAGTCCGAATGTTTTTCACGTTATTCATAGCTCATTTATACCTACATAATGCACACAATCTCAACTCAAAAGCGATTGATCAGTTGGTTCTTCTCCCTCGTAAGACTACTACACCGAGGCAGTTCGATGTTTAAATAGAAACTTTCTGATGACTTTCCTCCAAACATCACGTACACTTTCGTATCTTTTAACCAGGATATTATCATTGTCAGCGTATTAAGAGATATCCCTAGTCTCCACAGTTTAGTCAAAAACGTCTCGTGTCACACACGATC